GTTCAAGGAAAGAAGAGCTGCTCAAGTTGTAAGTCCAAGGAGGGAGACGGGAAACTGCACCCTAGAGCAATTACTTAATTCATCCATTCGCTCAATCAACCATCACCAGGTAGTTGTGATGTGCAGGGCACAGAGCTGGGTCCCAAGGACTTGAGAACGACTCAGCAGCCCATTTCTGCCCTTGAGGGGCAAATGACATCACTGAACACTGAAATAATTTGATGCAAAAGAAATGGAAGATTACAAAACAAAGACACCACAATGAATAGCTGGTGAGAAATGATATTGGGAAAGTAGCAACAACAGCCATGAAAGAAACTCTCTAGGCATTAGGTGAAGAAATCTGCAAAAACTGCAATGTAATAGAAAGTTTAAAAAAAGTATCAACATATATTATCTCAAACTTAAAAAAGTTGATCAGCTCTTCTCAGATTTAACATATTTAAAGCAATACCAATCAAGATTCTGATGGGATTTTTCTGGGGGATTGCTATTATTTGTATTATTTTACATAATTTTATTTTTTTATTTCTGTGAATCAATGCCTTTGAGTTTTGGTGTTGGAGAAGAGTGCTGAATATCCCATGGACTGCCAAAAAGATAAACATGTCTTGGGAAAGGTGCAGCCAGGGTGCTCCTTGGAGGCAAGGATATGAAACTTTGTCTCACATACTTTGGGCATGTTGTTGCCATCCTTGGAAAAGGACATTATGCTTGGAAAGGTGGAGGGTCAGTGAAGGAGGGGAAGATGCTTTATGAAATGGATTGACACAGTGACTATAATGGTGGACTCGAGTGTGTAAGAGATGGTAAGGATGGCAGGGTTCAGATCTATTGTTCATAGGTTTACTACGAGTTGTAGTCGACTCAATAACACTTAGTAATAACAAATTATTTACTTAAAATAATACATGATTGAGAATTGGCAAGAAGTGTTTAGAAAAAAAAACCAAGAAGATTATCAGGGTCTTGTGCCATCAGACACCAAAATATATTCTAAAGCTACAATGATCACAAATATGTTCTAAAACTACAATGATAAAAAAAACCAAAAAAAAACCCCCAGACGACAATGATCATGGAACTATCACGAGAAGAGATAGGTGGATTTTCTGGAGCAGAATGGACCTGGATATAGATCCAAATTTATTTTGTGATAAAGGGGCATGTCAACTCAGAGGCAAGAATGAGGCCTCAAGGTGATCCTCTAGGCTGAGAGTTCATCTGGGATGCAAAGAGGTGACACTTCTCTCCCATAATTGTATTTGGAGGATTTTGCCTGCATGGGGTTGATTAAAAGTAATTAACAAGAGCCCCAAAGTCCCCACTCATTATCTCATTTGGCCTTCATAGAGGTATCACAAAGTTATATACATTTTTTTTAAAGTTCCCTCCCAGAGAGCTTTGGTGGCCTAGTGGCAAGAAACTGTACTGCAATCCCAGAGGTAGGCAGTTCGAACCCACCAGTTGCTCTGCTGGAGAAGGGGCAATCTCCTCCTGTACCAGTCAGATCCCATTTGATGATACACACACACACACATAATAAAATCCAACTTTTTTTTAAAAAAGCTCACTCTCTTTTCATTATAATGTCATACAAACCCATCACTGTAAATTAGGAAAAGGATAACTCCCTAACATGAGCCAGTTACAAACATACAGTTAATCTCTCTAAAAGCAGGATCATAATGCATATGTAATTTGGTAACCTGCCAAGTTCACTTCACATCATATTGTGAGTGTTTGGATATCCTTTGAAAACATAATTTCTGATGGCTGTGTGTTATTCCCTGAGAGACAGACACCATGGCTTACTTAGCTGCTCCCCTAAAGATGATTATTTTCTAGACCGCTATCTATTACAATGTTCTTTGAACAACATTCTGGCTTTTTTTTTAAAAAAAATCTCATTTCTGACTACTTGCTTTAATTAGATTATTAGACTAGATTATATGCAAGTAGGAGTACCAGTTCAAAGGCAAGAACACGTTCAAAAACCTTGATATGTAATTGCAGACTGCAGTCTAGCCCAGAAAGGCGAATTGCATCCAAGGATGCAGAAAGTCAGTAGTGCAGGTTCCCAGCCTCCACGAGCATGAATGTTATTTTTAGGTGTTTTCTTTTTTCCGTTGCCAGTGTGCTAAGCTTTCTCTGTGCCAGATGTCTTGTGAAGAGTTATGAAATGGCATCTTCACACCCATTTTACAGATGAGAAAATGGATTCCCCCTGAGCCAGTGTCAACCCTGTATTTCTGTGACTCAGGTGCCCAGATCAGTTTGTCAACGCTTCCGCCTGGTCCCATTTCCTCTCTGATATCGGTCTTGCTTCAGGGCCCCCACCAGTATCTCGCACCAGAATGAGTTTTCCAATCCTGTATTTCTTGCTATCCCTCTGGGCTTCGCACTGCAGTTTTTCCTGGTGTTCCCATCAGGGATGGTTTGTTTATTTTAGTTAACAATATCACTTTTTTCCTCCCCAGCAGAAAGAAGCTAAGATTCTATGTATGGCTGACGTCTGTTTATCTTACAAACCTGACGTCTGTTTATCTTACAAACCCAGAGCACCTTCCTACAGAATCAGTCTCTTTTTAAATTTACAATCCCTAACAAGGAGCGCTGCTAATTGAAAGGTCATCATCAGTAGGAGTCCCCTTCCTAAGATAAAGATGAGCAGTCTCTTCCTGTAAGGATTTACAGCTGCAGAAACCTATCCGGAGGGTCTGACCGAGTCTGAATCGCCAGGAAGCAAGGTTAACACGTGTTTACTTATGTTTCTTTACTATAATCTATAGGGAACAATTTCCCATGAATTTATGTTGGAGTTGTTGTCCAGCGGGTTTTCAGAGGCAGTTAGTATAGGAGGGGATTGTCCATCGGCTCCCGCGGATCAGATGGTGGATTTGATTCCCTTGCCTTTGGGATTGCAGGACAGCTTCTTAGCATTAGGTAGCCAGAGCTCGTGAAACCCGTGTGATAGCAAGCACACGTAAGCCTATGCTTTACCTTGTTTATTGAGTAATCTTCCCCTGCTTCCTTCCTACCTTTCAGAAGCTATGTCTCCCTGACCCCTTGGCCTCCACTCTGTTGTAGTTGTTATGTGCCATCGAGTCGCCTGCGACTCTTATCGACCTTATGTCCACCCTAGGCACCTTTAAAAACCCAGCTCTTTGGCCGCTGGTCTAGACTGTCTTCGCCCCTTGGGGCTGCGGTAGGTAGCGCCGGGGCCAGAGCTTTAGGACAGCGCTTGTCACATGACTGCAGAGATTTGTTTGAGCACCTGACCGCCTTCCTTCCAAAAAAAAAAAAAAAAAAAACACCAAAAACAAAAACAAACAAACAAAAAAACCGGGCCTGGCTCTGATCTGAGCGTTCCTAGCGCCACCGTGTGCTCAACGCACCCAGGGCTTCTAAAGACACCGAAGGCTTTGAGCAATAGAAACGGGTCTAGGAGTTGTTATTTAGTGACTTAACGGGCTATTTGGCAAAGCAATTACGTATAGGGATGGAGGGGAGATTGTAGAGGCGGGATATCGAGTCATCCTTAAAGGACTGCTTGAGTTAGAACCGCTTTAGAATTTCTAAGTAAGATGTACGCAATTGTTTACAACTAAATTCAACCCTCCTCACCTCCTCTCCAGCCAAATCTATTAAGAATAGTTCAGATTGGGGCCCCACTTCGACCCCTTCTGGTGCACTCTTCCGCCAGCATGTGCGACCTTGGCGACCTCTTGCCAGGTCTTGGTCCCCGAATGAAAATAAGCCGATTGCACGTGCCCTCCCACTCCGGCCCCACGCGGGGCCCCAGGTTCGCGGGACAGGCCGTGGTGAGGTAGGTTGGAGACTGGTCCCTCTCCCATCCCTGCAGACCCCTCCAGGCGACAGACGGATCTTGGGCTCCAGCTGCCCCTTTTGGATGCAGAGAACACGAGCCAGAGGGTCGTCCCAGCCTGGGGCCTCCACGTCCTCTCGAGGGATGACAGCAGCCTCCCCGGCGTGGGGTGAGCGGGCGCTGCCTTCGCAGTGTGACCGCTGCGCGGGGAAGGTCCTCGCGGCGCGGCCGGCGGAGTGGGACCTCCTGCCCTCCAGAGGGCGCTGTCCGGCCGAGGCCGCTGGCTCGCCTTCCAAGCGGATAGGCCCTTGTGGAACGGTGGGTAGCCCGGGAGCCTGAGCGCCTGGCAGCCTGCCCTCCCGGCCTTAGCGTCGCAGGGCCCACAACCCTCCTTTCCCGAGGGGGCGACGCGATTGCTGAGTGGGTGCGGGGAGGAAGCGGTGCAATTCCAGCGGCGAGAGCCGCGCGGGAACTCGAGGTGCGGGGGTCTGGGGGAGGGGCTAGGGACAACTTGAAAGGAGGCCTTGGGCTTTGTGAGCTGATGGGGCTTCAGGATTTGATGGGTAATGTGTGTACCTGCTTTAGAAGGATTTAGCGGAATCAGGATCAGAACGAGTTGATGGGGAAGGAAGGTGAGATCAGTTAGAGCAGGAAGCGTTGGCTCATGGATGGATAAAAGTGAAAGCTTATTGGAGAGAGAGAGAGAGAGAGTGTGTGTGTGTGTGTGTGTGTGTGTGTGTGTGTGTGTGTGTGTGAGCGTGTGACTTTATCACCACAAAATAGGGTACCAGGAAGAGAATGAAGATATATAAAAGGTGTGGTAGGGAAGAGCAGCAGGCGGGGAGATGCGATTGGTGCAGAATGATGGGGGTAGGGAGGTGCTCCACCCGAAAGGATGGAGCCTTGGGAGTTGGGTGGTCAAGGTTGAGGAGGTAAAGGAGGCCTATAGACAAGATCTGAGCGGAAGGATGGTTAAACTAGGTAACTAATGGCAAGGATGGAGGCATATTGCGAGCACTGAGTGTGAATGCGGCATGCACTTGGCAGGATTGGGACTAGCAGGGAGGATCAGCAGGGAGTGTTTGAATGCTGTCGACTTGGGATGGGGGTAGAGCAGAACTGTGGCAGGACCCTGGCTTACTCCTTCCTCTCTCTACTACTCCCAGGAGCCATGTACAACCAACAGCAGCAGCAGTTCCAGCAACAGCAACAGCTCCAGCAGTTGCAGCAGCAGCAGCAGTTGCAGCAGCAGCAGTTGCAGCAGCAGCAGTTGCTGCAGCTCCAGCAGCTGCTCCAGCAGTCGCCACCACAGGCCCCCATGCCCATGGCTGTAGGCAGGTGAGCTTACATTGGGAGGGTGTGCCCCACACCACTACCACTTAGATTCCTGTCTTGGACACTGCTCTCTGCAGCCCTTTCTCTCACGGGAATCTCTTGAAGCATGGAGTTATCAGCAACTCCTACCTCCAGTGGAATTCTCCATCTGCCCAAGTGGGGCACAGAGTGGTCAGGAAAGAGAAGCAATCTGGTCTCTGCAGCAACCCTCTGACAAGTGCTTTCCAATCCACAGGGGCCTCCCCCAGCAGCAGCCACAGCAGCAGCTTCTGAATCTGCAAGGCACCAACTCAGCCTCTTTCCTTAACGGCTCTGCGCTACAGAGAGCTTTGCTTTTACAGCAGTTGCAAGGTATGAGTCCAGACCCTACCCTGCTTCATTTTAGTGTAACTCTTCAGCAGACCCCTTACAGTACATCTCATCTGATTCACTCAGAAACCCTAAGATGGAACACCTCTCAGTGCCCACACCGAGGCTGCAGGGGGTGAAGGTCTGTCTGATCATGGAGCAGTGACCTTGGCCATGGTGCTGGCATTGTGAGCAGTACTCAGTTCACTTTTCCCACATTCAGATTAGATAAACTGATGGATAGAAAGAAGTATTTTGAACATATATCCCCACATCTCAAGTTGCTCTGGTGGCTCAATAGTTGTTTATTCAGACGATCACTTTTTTAAACATGTAAAAATTTTGAAAAAATTTAAAAATCTAACCCACTGTCATCAGGTTGATCCTAACTCTAGTAGAACTCCCTGGAGAGTTGTTGTCAAGGCTGTAACTCTTTGTGGAAGCAGAATGTTCCATCTTTTTCCCCTGACGTGGCTGGTGGGCTGAAACTACTCTTAGTAACCATGTACTTAACCACTGCTCCACCAGGCTCCATCTGTAAAGATCACAACTTTGGAAACCCAACAGAGTAGTTCTCCTTTGCCATATAGGGCCGTTCTGTGTCAGAATCAACACAATGACAAAACATTACCACCTCCATACCCCACTGGACAGAGAAGGATGAGACCCAGTGAAGGGAAACTATTCTCTCTGAGCCATAAAATGCCTTTAGTGGGTGACCTACACCAACTCCTGGGTCTTCTGAGCTCTAATGTCTGAGTAGGTATCCCTAGATCCCTCTGTTGGACTTGTACGCCTCGGTTTCTCTACGAAACCAGCCTATAAAAGCAGCTTCTGAGCTCTTCCTTCCTAGATGCACCTGGTTTCTTGGTCCCTAAAGGAGTAATTCAGGGGCTCAGAAACCTAGGGCCAGCATCTTCAGACCCAGCCTCTCCAGCTAACAGCCCAGCTATGCTTCCTCGGTACCCTGACCCTGTCTGGATTAAGCCCTAGGCTACAGCCTTCCACATGTAACCCCTTGACGCTACTGACAACACTAGGAGTTAGACAGATCCATGAGTGGAATGAGAATTAAAGCCCACATCTTACTGCAGAGCTATGTCCTTAGTCCACCAGCCCTCCTGCTTCATGGGAAGGTATGATGGTTTTTTAGTCTTGATCCTGCTGGAGCCATGTGGGTATAGATGGTCATGGGAACTGACCTGCAAATGGCAAGATAAAAAAAATACACACAGAGACCCATACATAATGTTTGTATAGTGATAGCTATAATTCCCCCATACTCTTCAAAGAAGACTGAAAAGATAAAGGCTGAAGAAAAACCCAGACTATCATTTGACAGCTTCATTGATCAATGTCTTGTTACATTTCATCCTACTTTTTCCCAGGCACCAATTTGGAAATTTGTTCATGATGTGGTTAAATTTTTAAGGAGAAGGCTGTATTTTGTTTCTTTTTCCTTGAATATTTTGGCATGATCATTTACCATACAAGTTCATGGTCTCTGAAAAGATGATCTTTAATAGCTATTTAATAGTCCATTGGTGGGATATGTCTTTTTTTTTTTTTAATTTTTTTTTTCTGTTTTAAATAACATTGGAATGAATATCTTTTCCCATGTTTGAGATTATTTTCTTAGAATGGATTCCCAAAAGTAAAATGATGGATGGAGATGGATGTTTTTAAAGCTCTTGTTAAGTACTACCAAATTGCTTTCCCAAAGGACTGGACCAGTTTGCAATGCCACCCGCCACGTATGACAGTGCCAGCCTCACCATGCCCACAGCAACATTGGGTATTATATGTTTTTTTTATATATGTATGTATATTAATTTGGTTGGCAGGAGAAGCTTTATTATGTTTATAATGTTTAAATAGACATTCTTTGAATGCTAGTGCCATTGAATATTTGATATTTGTCGTTAAACATTTATATTTTTGTGACTTGTCCATGTCCTTTGTCCATTTTCTATTAGGATGTTCCATTTATTTGCCTTATTGTTTTTAGGAGCTGCTGTGCTTTTTTCTGTACACATGTGTATATGTATTTTTACTGTTAACTGAGCACTTAGTATATCCTAGTCACATTCATATAGCTCAATGAATTCTCATAAAATGTTGTTTTAGAGATGGCGGAACTGAGGCTGAGAAGGAGAAACTGATTTGCCCATGATCAGAGAGCTTGAAGTATAGAGTGTGAATGAATCTGTACCCAGCTTTCACAGCACAGTGTAAACCATGCCCTTAACTCCTATACTTTGTCTCTCAGCACAGGGAGGCACTTCAGTGCACTAGGACAAAGGTTCCAAGTATTCTTCATTTCTTAAACCTTTCCTGAAATTGGCCCTCCCCTGAGGTGTGGAGCTCAGCTGACTGAAGAGACTGCCCTTGCTTGAGGAGCTCCCAGTGTGGTTGGGTAGTGGATAGTGGGAGGTAGACAGAGAGACTGTGCCATTGGTGAGGCTTATGAGAACATAGAGGGGGCTGGGAGGACTTAGAGGAAGTCTTTGAAAGTCTCTTGAGGAAAAATACCTACAAGAAGGTCCAAAAGATGACTTAGAGTTAGTGGGCTCAGAGAACCCAGGCAAGGGAATAGCATGTATAAGGCTCAGAGGCAGGACTTAAAGCTGGACATGTTTAAAAGATGAATGAGGGCATATGGCTGGAATATAGTGAGGGTATAAGAGAGGGTAGAGCCAGGCCGCTCCTTGGAGGCAAGGATTCTGAGGCTTTGTCTGACAAACTGGGCGTGTTGCAAGGAGGGACTGAACCTTGGAGAGGAACGTCATGCTTGGAAGGGTAGAGGGACAGAGAAAGAGAGGGAGACCATCAATGAGGTGGATTGAAACAGTGACTGGGGTAATAAGGGTAGGTGTGTCAGAGACAGTAAAGTTGGCAAAGGATAGAGCAGGTTTCAGGGCTGTTGTACATAGAGTCGTAAGCAACTTGAAGGCACATAACAACAACAACGTGTGGGAACAATGGCAAGAAAGTAGGGTTTAGGAAGGTTGATCTGGACATCCCTGGTGCAGACTGAGCATCATTCTCTATCACTAGGGAGCTATGGAAGGGTTGAGGTAAAGGAAGGAACGAAGGTATCATGTGGCTTGGGGAAGATTGGTTTGCTACTAGTGGTCTAAGAGGGTTATGGCAAAAATGTAGGGAAGAGATGAAGTGGCTTTGGAAGAGGTGGGATGAGCAGAAGGCTAGAAAGGAAAAGCAGGACTAGGAAGAGGAGGTGCAGGAGATGGAGCTGATAAGATCTGGTGATCACTTAGATGGGAGATGCCAAGGAGAGAGAGGGCTCAAGAGGACCTCTGAGCCTTGGCTGGGACCAGAAGGTGAACTGCAGCCTTTCACAGACACTGGCAAGTTGCTTTCCCACGTTGTGTCTACATATTCTTAGCTGTAGAGATAATAGGACTGGGAGTGTTAAATCACTGTTAAAGTAGAAATCTGGAAAGTCAGTGCCTTACCCTCTATACTGCTCTGTCCTCCCAATTAGAGCAGAAAAATAACCCTATGGCCTCCTCCACCACCCGTGGCCAGACTGAACTTCTTAGGTAGGAATTGGTCTCCTTCAGAGTTGTCTGTTAGGTTCCCATAGTGCTTTGGGGAACTGGTCTCTGACATTCACCTGTACCCCCCAACACAATTATGATCCTTCTTTTCTCTTCTTGCCCACAGGTAACCTCCGTGGCTACAATCTGACAGCCCCGAACCTGGCAGCCCCGAACCTGGCAGCTCCTAGCCTCCCACCCCCTCAGCTAGCCACTCCAAATCTACAGCAGTTCTTCCCCCAGGCTACTCGTCAGTCCCTGCTGGGCCCTCCCCCTGTTGGGGTCCCTATGAATCCCCCCCAGGGCAACTTCTCAGGGCGGGCACCCCATAGACACTCCCGCACTACTAATCGAAAGGTGAGTAGAGGTGTTTGAATCGGGTGGGGGTGGGAGGAGAAGAGACACCTACATGTCAGCTCCCCTCCACTTACCCTGGTCTTTTGGGCAGATCACCCCTCCTTTTTTATGCCTCAGTTTCTTCATCTGTAAAGCAGGTCTGGGCTTATCTAATGTTCCTCAAACTTCAAATATTCTCATACCCTAACATGTCCAAGGAAGCAGGGGTGGCATCCACTTCCTAAACAACATGCCTCTGGAAACTCCATGAACTTTGGTAAATGATGATAGTTATAGAAAGTCTTCAGGCCTTTTGTTCATTGGATCAATATGAGTTGTGATCAACTCGACAACAATCAACAACCAGTACTATTATTTCTTTTATATTTCTTTTTAAATCAACACCGAACAAAATTCCCTGGTAACCACAATAAAAAACAGTCATATTAATTTTAGGAATATATTTTATTTGCTTCAATATATCAAATATATATTATCTTAACATGTAGTCAATATGAAAAAAATTTAATGAAGTATTTTTAGTCTTTTTTTTTTTAAATCTAAGTCTTTGGTATCCAATGTGTATTATATTTACTGTACACTTTCACATTGCAATCTAGACCTGCCAAGGACCCAAAATCCACATGTAGCCTTAAATGAGTTAGCTTCTTTTCAATTACAGTTACTTAAAATGGAAACTTTGAATTACTGCCAGAAATGCAAAAAGCCAGTGTGAGTAATCATATATAAAAATACAAAAATGCATTTGGGACAAAACAATGTTATAAAATGGCATGCTATACACTGTTGCCAGCTGAAGGTTCTAAGCTCTGTTTGCTAAATCTAAGTTGGTGTTTGGGAGCCCTGAGGTGTCAAAGACACCAACAGGAACCTTTCTCTGACATAAGCATAAAGATCCTTATAAGAGACATCACCTTTCTTAAGACACTCACTGAGCCTCCTGGCAGCCCCTCTCACACCCCTTGTTCCTGAGTGCAGTTCTGGGCCTAGAGACAGAACCCTGCTAGCTTCTCTGAGGCATACCCCTCTAATCATGGACCTTGGCCTCAGACCTTCCGACAAGGCCTGTCATAACATGATCTTTTAAGGACCATCAAGTTTCCACCCTTTCTACTTTACATGTGGGAAAACTGAGGCTCAGAGTGGAATTGGGATTGCGCTGGGCCACATAGCGAGAGCCCAGTGCTTAAGTCATGGAGCAGGGTGAGGGCCAAGTACTTTCTGAAGGATTTGTGGTCTGGACTTGGTACACAGGTTACTGTCCTCTGATCAGTGCTAGCCCTTCAGGCTTGGTGAGAGGGAAGGAGGCTGTGGGAGGACTTGTAGAGGGGCTTTCTGGAGAGGTCTGGCCCTGGCCAGAGTCATGTTCATTTAGCAAGCCTCTGCTAGCACTTGCTAGGGGTCCAGGGAATTCAGGAATGGAGCTGACCTCTGGTCTGGCTCTTGTGTTCCTTGGAGATAGGAGTGGGTGGCAAGAGACATGAAATGCACATAATGCTCTAACTACTTTATCAAGTTTATGGAAATCGTCACAAAGAAATCTAAAGTGTTCTGGGGACCTGGGCACCTCGTCTGGTGTCAGGAAGCCTTCCCGTAAAACGAATCTTTGAGGCCTGGGTGAAGACCTAGTAGCAGGAAAAGGCCAGAGCTTTGGACTATAAGATAAAAGGCTAGTGTGGATAGAGTAGAGAGCACTGGGGGAGAGGGGGACAAAAGAAGGCTGGAGTGAAGGGTGGGGCAGAGGCCAGATTGTATGGTTTTAAGTCTGAGAAATGAGAGGTTTTAAAGAAAAATAAGAGACAGTTTTAAGCTCAGAAAAGGAGAGATGTGCAAGTCTGTACTTGAGAAAAATCCCACTGGTTGCTTCATGATGAAGGGGATAGAGAAGGGAGGAGATAATGCTGTGGTCAAGAAGAGGCACTGTGTCCCCTGACCTGTGGCAGCTCAATGGACTATCCTAGACATAACTCCCAGGGTGTTTAGGACCGTCTGGCATCTAGGCAGCTCTGGAGCCAGGCCAGCCAGAGGCCCCCTTCATTCCCTGTGGAATGTGCAAGCTGACATTTGCAAGGGTAGGTGACGGATGTCAGATACGGTTTCTGAAAGGAAGTAGGATTCTTATTCTCAGACAATACCTGTGGAAGACAAGGCAGACCCCCCAGAGGGGTCTGATGAAGCTGAAGAGCCCAGAACCAACACACCAGAAGGTGAGGGAGGGAGGCTGCTGACCCTGAAAAGGGACACAGGTTGGGGCAGGTGGGCACTACTTTGGTGGGTAACAGAAACAGATGTGGGAGGCAAGTGGGCTAACTCCTGGCTCAGGGAAGGGATAGTGGTGGGGGGGTTGTATCCCAGGCTTCATCTCCTGGAACTCAAACCAGCATCCATGGTCACTCATCTGCCCTCCATCCCAGGTCAAGAGTCTCCCCATGACCCAGATGGCATCATTAAGGAGAAACGCACCTCAATGCCAGAGCCAGAGTCCTGTGAAGGGTTGGAACCACCAACCAAGAGGTTGAAAAGGTAACTGAAGCTGAGAACCTGCCCAGAACACAGGAGCCCTGCACCCCTGCAGCAGGCGGGGACAGGACCCCAGTCTCTGCTTTGGACAAAGGTTAGGCCTAATTATCCCCCTTACTGTACCTAGGAGGGTTTCAGGCCATCTCTGGTATCTTCCTTGTATCTGAGCCCCAGCTGGAGGCTGGCTTGGGGTACAAGTGACCGGGTGGAGATTTGTATCTAGGACCTTAGGGCGTGGGTGGAGGACCAGCAGATTTATAGGACTTTGGGTACCTATTCTGGGGGATGGTGATTCTCTCCAATTTATTTCTAGAATATTGGGGATCAGAGAGGTGAAGGCATTTTTCCAGATCCCCAGTTCATTAGCAGTCGAGTGAGTACTGGAATCTTTCCTGGGAGCTCCCATGGGGCTCCAGGAAAACCTGGATGGGTTTTTCTCTTGATCCTTCCCAGCTCACAGGAGCCCACAGGAGAGAAAGGGTCTCAAGGGCATCTTCAGGCAAAGGTTCAGCCACAGGTCCGGATGACAGTACCAAAGCAGACACAGACACCGGAGCTGCTGCTTGAGCCTGCAGAAGTCCGCATGCCACCACGGTTCCAGCCACGGGTTCTGCAGATCCAGGCCCAGGTGCAGCCACAGGCTCAGCCACAGGTGCCACAAGCAGTTGCCCCGGTGCAGCCAAAGCTTCAGAGACAGGCACAAACCCAGACCTACCCAGAGCACTTAGTGCCCCAGCAGAAGCAGGTGCAGCCACAGCCGCAGAAGGAGGCTGAGTCGCCAAAGCAGGTGCAACCCCAGGTGCAGCCACAGGCACCATCACAGCCTCCAAAACAGGCGCGGCAGCAGCTGCTGAAGCAGGCACAGACACAGACATGTCCACAGGTCCAGGCGCAAGCCCAGCCGCTGGAACAGCCTCCAGAACAGACAACAGAAACACCACTTGAGCAGCGTCCCATGCAGCTGCCACCGGCACAGACCCAGGGGCAGCCTCAGACCCAGCCACATGTGTCAGCACCTGAGCAGTCACCGGCTCCAGTTCATACCACGGTACAGGAAATGCTGCCTGACATGGCAGAAGCTAGAGGAGGTAAGTGAGCACTTGAACTCTGGCCCCCTGCAGCCCCAGTGGCAGAGTAGCACTGTGGGGACCCTTTGATTCTCACTGGTACTTTCTGACTCTGGCGACAGCCTGGGACTGGAACCAGGCTTGAAGCCCCTAGCAGTGGGCAGAGAGGGCTGCTCTTGGGTTCAGGTCTCTCTGGACCCAGGGTGGGAGAGGACATCTGTCATTTCAGGCCTGGAAACAGTCTCCCAGGGGCTAGTCGATGCCCTGGTCAGCATGGAAGAAAGCCAAGAGGAATCCCCCAGTGACCTGGATATGGGAGAATGTGAAAAAAGTGCTAGAGAGATGCTCAGGGTGGGTGAGACATTAATGTGGCAGCTGGGGACGAATGTTGGGGCCACAGAATCTGGCACTGGGATGGCTTCTGTCTCCCTAAGCCCACCTTAGAGCTCCCTCATATTTTCTCCATTTGTGAAATGGAACAGCCCTCCCACCTGAGGGATTTAGGGAGAGCAGACTGGATTCAGCAGAGCTTTGTCCAGCATGGGGCTGACCCATCTTAAGTGCCTAGCTGGTGGTAGCTCTGTTCTTGCTCCTGGCTCCAGGTATGGGGTGCTGCAGGCTCCCTGAAGGTCACCATCCAGCAGAGCAATGACAGCCGGGCCTTTAGCACTGTCCCCCTGACTCCTGGGCCTCGACTCAGTGACTGCACATCCATCACCCCTGTGGCCAGCACACCTTCTAGGCAGACTCTCCAGTTCTTCTGCTGTATTTGCAAGGCCAACTGCACTAGCCAGCAGGTACAGCAACCCCGTTGGGTGGGCAGATGGAGGGTGGGATCTTTACGGAATTCCCAGTCTGCCCCTTTGCTGTCTAGTAGCGACAAAAGGCCGTGAGAGCCGACCTCTGGAAGCTGTACGTAGCCTCAGAAAAATGCTCCCTGACCAGCCAATAACATAGATTCTTAGAGTCAGACAGACCTGAACTTGACATTGAAGTCATGAACCCCAGGCTTGGCCCAGAGTGAGCATTCACTTGTACATTAATGATACCATAACACTTCTATTATTACTGCTATTGGTATTGTATTATTACCACTATAAACCAGTAGTGCACTCCAAGCAGAGTTACAGAGACTTGAAGTTAATCAGACTGTTCTTCTTCTTTGAGGGGTTCACACAGTCTTCCCTCCACACAGCTGGCCTCTTCTTAGGAAGAGCAGAAGCTCTCAGTCTAGTGCGTGCTCACTCTGCCTTGATCCCCCTTTCTTCCTTTGGCCCATGCAGGGCAGTGGGGACAGGAACAGTCTCCCAGCAATGGCCAGGAAGCTGGGATAGAGAGGCTGGAATCCTCCTCCTCAGGCCCCACCACTGCCCACTGCCCCAGAGCTGTGCCTCATGCCCGTCCTTCACTCTGCTGCAGGAGTTCCAGGACCACCTGGCAGGGACCCAGCACCAGCAGCGGCTCGGGGAGATCCAGCACACAAACCAAACCTGCCTCCTGTCCCTGCTGCCTACACCTCAGGACGTTCTGGAGGGAGAGGAGGAGTGAGTAGAGGGTCTCAGAGGCTCAGTGCTGGGGAGTGGGCTGTGTCATGGGGTGGGTAAGGCAGAAATCAAAGAGCGGCTCTGGCCCTACCATCTGCAAGATCTACCTTTGGGTTAAGCCGTGCCCTCCTCGGGAGACCGCTTCATGTTATTAATAGTGTGACCTGGGACCTCAATTTTCCTCATCTGTAAGATAGCCTAGAGATGGCTATAGTCCTGGAATTTGTGAAAAGATTGTCTCTTAAGGTCCCAGCCACAAGAACAATGTGACCAACCACATTGGAGGGAAGTGGGCTGTGGCACAGATCCGTGCTCCCTGGCACATATGCTCACCCCACCCGGGGGCACAATAGTGAGAACAAGGTCCTCCTGTTGCCAAGGTTACAACTTCCCTGCCTCTCCTTGATTCACTGTCATGAGAAGGCAGCCAATCAGAAATGCCACCTTTCATATGAGAAGGCCCTCTAGGTAGTCACCAAGGCCTGTAGAAGCTGAGAGGCATCATTATTGAGCGAAGTGGACAGCGTTAGTTCAGGTCACCAGTGACATGGACTCTGACGTGTAAGACAGCTAGCTGCCTCTCAGCTCCATATTCCCAGTATTTCAGAAGGGTCCAGAAATCTAGACTTAGATAAGAAATCTCCAAATTTCAGGATGCTGACAGCTAGTTCAGAAAGAAAGCCACACAAACACTCTGGAAATAAAATCAAATCCATCCCAGACTAATAGAATCAGGAGCAGGGATGGGCTTGAAGATCCCCAAATGGGGGGTAAGGGAAGAGGAGGGGCTTCTGGTAGGCCTTGGAGAAATGCCTCTGCTTACCCACCTCCAATGACAGGGGTCTTTCTCTGCAAGGGCAGTTCGCATCTCTGTTAGCCCACTCTCATGGAGAGATTCCCGATGTGATTTTGCTGTGTGTTCTCAAACCTCAACCTCCCCTTGCCTGCTGACCCAGGAGTTAGACTTTTTGGGGTTTTGTTTATTTTTTTATAGGAGGCTTGGTTATTTCTTGCAATGTTGTTATGTTCCATCAAGTCTGAACTGACTCATAACTGACCCTCCAATGGGTTTTTAGAGGCAGTAAATTGCATGTGAGGAGATTGCTCATATTTTTCCCATGGAGTGCCTGGCAGATTCAAACCGCATGTCTTTAGGTTGGCAGTGCAGCTCTTTACTACTAGGCCACCAGAGTTCCCTGACCTGGGAGTTACACTTAAGTGAAAGAATCAAACATAGAAGAACTTTATCACACAGATATTCTTTACAGGATTAATATAATGATGAAAACAATGTAACTGGAAATTATCTAAAATACCCAAACCTAGAGGATTGGGTAGATCAGTTAAGGCTTTTCACTGGGTGAGAACAAGATATGAAATATATTTGGCTGAATGAATGTTAAGTTAAAACAAGATCCAAATCTGTGAAGTGCAATTAACTATGTTAGAAGAAAAATGAAGGATGTAACCCTTCCAGACTCTTGAGAGGGTTGGCAGTGAGGAAAAAAAATCATCCTTCAAATAGATGTCTTGTCCTTCCATCATGCAACGTAGTCAGAATCTCTGGGCTGATCCCATGTCAGGCTGTGGGGAATGGGGGATGGAGGCCTGGCCTCCCCAGGTACAGAGTCTAATGGGGTTGAAGATGCACCAGTCCTTCCTGATCCATCATGGAAAGTACTATGGCAGTGGCACTTTGGAACCCCAGTCGGGAGCCTGGCTAACTGGGATGAGGCCCATGAACATGGATGAGGTCCATGAATGGGGGCCAGTACAAGACGACTCTTGTGAAGGACGTTGTTAGGTGCCACTGAGATGAGTATGACTCAGTGTGACCCTATGAACACTAGATGTGAACCCTGTTCTGTTCTGTGCCATTCTCATCATCTCTGACACACAAAGCTGCCGTTTCTGTGTCAGTCCTGTGAAGGACAGGTTAGTTAAACTGAAGAAGTAGCTTCGAAGGCCATCAATTTTCAGTTGCATCTCACAGGCATGCACCCAATGCCAGTTTCTCATTATCTGTTAGTGCCCAGTTGTATTAAATTCTTTACAACAAACAGTAAAACACAATATCTCTCCTAAAATGTAGTGTTAGAACCTGTCACCATTCCCAAAGATAAAAATCAGAATCAACACAAAGCTGGTTCTTGTGTAGGTGGACGTCAGGCAAATCTCAACCCTCCAATTTCTTCTCCATTTCAAACACCAGCAATTCCCCCCAGTGGCACTCTCTTCTCTGTTGGGTTTAGTAATTCATTGCAACAGCCACACAGAACTCACAGACCATACTCAGCTGTGTGGTTTATGAGGGAAGTAACAGGCCTACAACTTGAGATCAGGATCAACTTGGAAATGACAGGAACAACTCAGAATCAGGAAGCACGTAGGCCAAGTCTGGAAGTCTCTGAGGCAGAAAGCAGTGCAGGGCACCCTCTGTGGACTGTTGCTCAGCTGCGTGAGCAGGCCGACCCTGCTCTAGGCTGTCCATGCTTCCTTGGCAGTGCACATCCCCTTGCAGCTGTGCACACCCCTCTGCACTTGATTTCCTTGCTGTCAACCTTTCCACTCCGTACTGGCTCAGATGCTTTCTCAGGACTTTGACCCTTATTACAGGTCCTTTAATGAGTTTCTTCTCTCCCTCTCCTCTCTGTGTCTCATCTGTAGAGTTGGCCACTTACATAAGCAAACTCTTTGCCAGTTTCCCTCATAGCAAGACCATAAATAGACCAATCTTGAAAGTCATCCAGTCTTGTTGAATGAATTGTCAAACACTTACTTAACATAGCAAATTGATCAATCCCTCCAGGGTATGTACGACCAGGGCCAGATTAGTTTAAACTGTCAAATTGGTTATGAATGTACCCAGGAATATCAGTCAATGACAAAAGCAACAAATCCTCTGTGATAGAGAACAACCCAGGAAGTCCTCCTCTAAATGACTTCTTCAAGCTGTTTTTCCAGAGAACCAAAAGGCCACATAAAAGAACTCATTTCACTTCACCTCCAATCTCAACCCAGGATTCCTTCCTCTACTTTGACCATCAACATGTAGACATAAGTACAGTCATCCTGTATCCGGCAGATCCTTTGTGGTTTTAAGTAACATAAATCCACCTCGTATTGTTGTTGTTAGGTGCGATCAAGTTGTAGGACTCATAGCAGCCCTGTGAAGCACAGATCTGAACCTTGTCCTGTCCTGTGCCATTCTCACCATCTCTGATATTCTTGACTCCATTGTTAAAGTCACTTGACTTAGTCAATCCATCTCCTTGAGGGGCTTCCTCTCTTTTCCCTGAGTGTTGCAAGCATGAGGTCCTTCTCCAAGGACTGGCCCCTCCTAACAACATGTCCAAAGTATATGAGACAAAACTTTGCCATCTTCGTCTCTAAAGTACACCCAGGTTGTGCTTTCTCCAAGACATGCCTTTGGTTCTCTTGGCAGCCCATGGGACATTCAGTACTCTTCTCCAACACCACAACTCACAGGCTTCAATTCTTCTGTCATCCTTAGTCACTGTCTAGCTTTCAGATGTATAGCAAGTCATTAAAAAGACCATGGCTTGAATCAAGCCATTACAAAGATAGAGGAGAAAGACCAATGGATGTCAGAAGAAACTGAAAATTACACTAGAGCATCAAGAAGCCAAAACAAAGGGAGGAAATGCTGAAGTAAACACCGAACAAAGATTTCAAAGGGCAACTTGAGAAGATAATGAAGTTTTATAATGGAATACAGTGACTACAGAGGAAATGGCGATCATCCACACATACAATAATAAACTATTTCTAGGGAAGGGGCTTCAGGGCTGCTACTGTGGTCAGGTGGCCTTTTCTAACCAATCCAATGTCTAGAGGTGGCATTTTCCAGTTGGCCAGACTTGGGTCATGTGTCTTACTATTGACAGGGTCAATTCCTTGGAGAGGGACATGATGATTGGAAGGATGGAGGGTCATTGAAGGAGAGGAAGACCCTCAACCAGGTGGATTGACAGGGTGACTGCTGCAGAGGGCTCTAGTGTATTACGAAGTGTGAAAATGGCACAGTTTAGGATGGGGTTCATCTACATTGTTCTTAGGGTTGCTATGAGTTGTATTCAACTCAACGGCACCTAACAACAACATGCTTCTCAAATTTATCAGAAACCTTATGTGTAATCACACACTTACAAATCTTACGCATATTTGAACTTGTTTTAGACTTCCTCTTCTATCCCATTGATGACGTCAGAATACACAGCATGCTTCAGTTTTAACGACTGGAGCTATGATTTCAATGACTGATATAGCAAATGCTTCTGACTCTTTTTCTCAAATTTCCCTTGGGTTATTTTTTTTTTCTTCTTTCTTTCTATTTCATTTTATTATAATTTAATATATTGGGGAAAAATAAGTTTGTGAAATTGTGGTGTTTTGTTTTTGTTTTTTGTGAGAAAAATTTATATTTAGAATTAGCCTGTTGGACTCAGTTTAGATGATCCCAAATTTGTTGGTAACATCCAAAGCATCATAATCAGGAGCAAATCGAACAAAGGCCTTCTTCTCTCCATCAGGCCTAATCAAAGTGTTGACCTTGGCCTCATCAATGTCATAGAGCTTCTTTACAGCTTGTTTAATTTGGTGCTTGTCAGCCTTGACATCCACAATGAACACAAGTGTGTTGTTATCTTCTATCTTCTTCATGGCTGACTCAGTGGTCAGGGGAAACTTGATGATGGCATAGTGGTCAAGCTAGTTTCTCCTGGGGGCGCTCTTCTGGGGGTATTTGGGCTGCCTTTGGAATCTCAGCGTCTTAGGCCGCCGGAAGGTGGGTGATGTGCGGATCTTTTTTTTTTTTTTTTGGCTGTGGACACCCTTCAGGACTGCCTTCTTGGCCTTTAATGCCTTTGCTTTGGCTTCAGTTTTGGGAGGGGCAGGCAAGTTAGTGAAGTTTTAAGACAGTGGTAACAACACCTATATCATAACCACCGTCTTCACACCCCTTAGCTATTCTTACCGCAGCCCCCCCCTTGGCTATTCTTGATTAAGTTTTCGTTCAGATGAACTTCAAAACTTTATGTGTTAAATTAAAGGGGGGGAAAAGACTGTTAGAATTTAAAATTGTAGTTGCCTTGCTTGTGATCTGGGAGAGCTGCTCTCTTTAAAAGAGGACAGTGGCACACTGTAATTTCTGATTGCTGTTTCCAGAGAACCTCCACCCCAGCGCTGGTGCAACACCTGCCAGGTCTACTACATGGGTGACCTCATCCAACACCGCAGGACGCAGGACCACAAGGTACAAGGGCCTGTGTGCTATGAAAGCACAGCAACGTGCCCGCCCCAGCTAAGTGGAGATGAGTTGTTGGTCTTTGTGTCTGCACATCATTACTCACTCACTGTGTGGCTCCTGAATAATTCCATCACATTTCTTTGAGCCTTTATTTCCCTTTCTGTCCAGTGGGTGCAAGGCCTGCCACTCGGCTGAGTGATTTGTAGGGGTCCTCTGGACTGCTGCCCTCTCTCCCTGTTCTCTCGCTCTACTACCATCCATGATCATCTCATAAACAGCCACACAGGGAAGGGATGGATGTTTGCCTGCCTTCTAGAACAAGGGCAGAGTGTAGCTTAACTTGTTGATAGATGTGGTGGGCCTGCAGGTAAGAGGTAGGTCTCTGTCCACTGCTTGGCTAACTGTCAAGAGGCTCACAGCTGGAGACACTGTCCACTTTTACTTGCCCTCTTTTTCTAGATCGCCAAACACTCCCTGAGACCATTCTGCACCGTCTGCAGCCGCTACTTCAAGACCCCCCGCAAGTTTGTAGAGCATGTGAAGTCCCAGGGGCACAAGGACAAAGCCAAGGAGGTAACCCTGACTCCATTGAAGGACATGGACCCAGAGAGGCCCAGAGCCTTTGCCAAGGCCACAGAGCCAAAGTTGGAGTTTATCCAAGCTCAAAGGCCTGGAAGGAATGGGATCTTTAGGGGTGATAAGTGGCAAGGTGTGGTTATCTTTGTTGCTCAGAGCTGACCTGGTCCTTCACCTTCTCCCCTGAACAGCTGAAGATGCTTGAGAAGGACACAGCTGGTCAAGATGAGGACCATTTCATCACAGTCGATGCTGTGGGCTGCTTCGAGGGTGATGAAGAGGAGGAAGATGATGATGAAGAAGAGATTGAGGTTGATGAAGAGTTCTGCAAGCAGGTGCTGGGGATAAGGGGTGGAGGGCTGGCTGGAGGCTGGATTCCCTGCCCAGGAAGGACCCCTTTCTGCCCTGAGACAAGGACTGTGCTGGCTCTAATGCATGTTACGATCTATTTATGAGCTATATTTTATATGACTTTATAAATATACATGATGACTACAGGATGGATGGATGCAATTTTCAAGGGCCTTGAAGGTTTGGGAAAGGCCCTCAGGGAGGCAGGATTAGCATGTGCAAAAGCTCAAATGATGCCACCCCACCCTCCCACAAATCAAGGGGGCAAGTGGGTTCCAGGTCCCCCAAATATTTGTGAAAGGTCTGGGGCAAGCCAGATCCAAGGTCCATATTTGCCTGCTTCTAGATGAGGACTAAAGATCTATCCATGGAAGAGTGGAAGGATTCAGAGACTTACAACTCCAACACTGCATACGGTAAGACCCTCTCCTTGACCCTGCCTGCAGGAACTGTGGCTTTCAGCCTCCCCTAGATCCCAGCTGCAGCTATCTAGCTAGGTCACCTATCCCCATGTCTCCATCTCTTCTGTTCCCACCTGGAGTATGGGGAGCCAATAGACCCCTAGAGGATGGGACACCATGGACAACATGGGGGAATGAGCATGTCCATCCTGTGTCACACAGGCGTGGACTTCCTGGTTCCCGTGATGGGTTATGTCTGCCGTATCTGCCACAAGTTCTACCACAGCAACTCGGGGGCACAGACCTCCCACTGCAAGTCCTTGACCCACTTTGAGAACCTGCAGGTGAGCTGAGTATCCTTGCCCTGCCCTGTCCTTCAGACTCTGTCTAAATTGATGGACCCAGCGAGTGACCACCTCCCTCCTGATGGATACGGCCAGTGGCCATCTCCCTCTTATGTTTGGGCACCCTGTAGCAGAGAGGCCCCACACATGAAGGGCTCAGAGCCAGGGAGGAGCTGGTATCTGTTATTGTTCTGGGGATACTGAGAGTCAGGCTGTTAGCTCTAGAAGCCAGTTTTTAGAAAGGGTGAGTACATCACACAGGGTCACACTGCACATCTCTGATGTCTTGGCTGGAGCTGGAGGTGCAGCTGCTGGCAGGAGCACCTCAAGGGAGAAAGCTTTAACCTCATTTCTACCCTCTTGTATCCAGAAATACAAGAAGGCCAAGAACCCCAGCCCCACCACCCGGCCGGTGAGCCGCCGGTGTGCCATCAATGCCCGCAATGCCTTGAGTGCACTGTTTACCTCTGGAGGCCGCACACCCATCCAGCCCACCATCCACAACCCAACCAAAACCTCAAGCAAGGTGACAGCCCAGCCATCACGGCACCCACCACCCCGGCGCTCTACCCGCCTCAGATCCTGATCGAAGGAGTCCCTGTGCCCAGCCTGTCAAGGTCCAGGTCTGCTGATGCATTCTAGAAGTCTGCTTGGAAAACTTACATGGTTGGTTTTTCACTTCAAATCCAATAAAAGTTGCTTGGCTATCCAGTCCCCACCAGCACTCTGGGTGCAAGTGGAAAGGCAGGCCCAGCCAACTTCCCAGTGGCGAGCTTCCCCAAGCAGTGTGGTGGCAGAACCCGAGGACCAAGGGCTCCAGGATCATAAAGCACGTCACTTCTCCAAGCCTTAGTTTCCCTTTGAATAATTTATCAGGGGTAAGAAAATGCTTTCAAGAAAGATCTCATTTCATCTTGGCAGTGACCATAGAAGGCCTTGGCAGAGGAAGAAAATGAGCACTACCTAGGTCAAGTGACTAGCCCAAGGCCATGTAACCACTAAATATGCAAGATTCCACCTCAGAGCTTGAGCCCTGGGTCTCTGTGCCTCCTCTCTCCAGTTGGACTCTGGAAATGGTATGCAGGGGTCACTTCTCAGACTCATTGTAGCTCTGAATTCTTGTATCACCAGCTGAATGGGAGGTTTTTCATCAGGCAGCCCTGCAATGAATCATTAGCAAATGGGGCCCAGACTGCTCTTTAGTTTTGCTGTTTCTCCATTTAGAAAGACCTTTAGAGATAAACAATCAGGCCAACTCTGTTATTATACTGCTGGGGAGACAGACGCTAAGAGGGCCATGCCTAAGGCCAAAGAGCTTGTCTGTGGTCAATGTGGGCTTGAGCTGTCTTGGTGAGAGGCCCTACTGCCCAGAAAGGTTGATTGCATAACAGAGGGCTGGCTACACAATACATCCGATGTTGTGGGCCAAGACTGGGGGAATAGGTGCTGGCCAGTGTTCATCAGATGAGAGGAAATCCTTAGTTCATCCACACTCGCTATGACCAGAATATAAAGTGCCCAAGAACCCAAGCCTTACCATCTGGCCCATGACTTTAATGCATGATCTACACCTATAAAACCTTGACTCCCCTATTCACCTCTGGGGTCCTCATCTAAGATACAGAGGAGAGAGGTACAGTAGTGTTAGACCCGTTTAATGTGGACACTCAAGGCCTGGGGAGAGTGGGAAGTGCTCAGGCAGGCAGGCAGGCAGTGTGAGCGAGCTGCAAGCCCATAGCTTGGCTCCAGGAGGGAACACCAGGTAGAGGGGATTGGTTCAGACAGGCCAAGGAGAGCACCAAGAGGGTCGCTTAGTGCAAGCCCACCAGGAGACCCAAAGGCCAGCCCTTAAGAAGTTACCCAAGCCAGGTGGTGAGTGTCCAGGCCAGAGCCTGGCCCGGGAGGCAGGGTCAGGGCCTGGTTGGGCTCTGACAGAGCCTAGTGGGTGGCATCGCTGGAGGCCTCCCCAAGCTGCTGCTGGAACTCGAGGCGTGTTTGCCGGTTGGACTCAAGCAGCTCCTGGAGACGGGCGTGGAGGTGGTCGTTCTTTTCCTCCAGGTGGTCCAAACAAGAGTTGATTTGGTCCAACATAGAGTTGATGGCAGCATATTCTGGGAGGAAGGGGAAGACACAGCCCAGGTCTCATGCCTCCCTAGGACTCACAGATACCACCCCTCCCCAGAAACTCTTCCCCAGACTTGATGCCTTCGCTTGGGGGCTGAGAGGCAGCATCAGAAGGGCCTTTATCAAGTCCCTACTGCTTCCTGAGTCTCAGTCTTACCATATGGAAATTAGGTAAGATACCAAAAGGGGCAACTGTACCACACTTTCCCAGGGTTAGGATGATCAGCAAGAGTGTGTATTACCTGGGAAGACCTGCCGGCTGGCAAGTCTCTATATTTTCCTTAGCAGCTGCTTAGAAAATCCAGAGCCCATGTTGTAGAGTCAGGCATTCAAGGCCTCTTTTCCCAGGTCCTGCCTTACCTCCTCTGCTCTCAAAGCTGCCTTCTCCAGCCCCTCAGTGGTTCCCTCTACCCTCAGGCTAAAGCCCAAAGTACCCTTCAGTCTCTCCAGGCCCAGCAACTGGACCCTGTCCCTGCTCTAGCACTGTCTCTCAAGCCCATTCTTTCCTGCCTCTGCCTACCTCAGGCCCTTTGAACACAGCATTGTCTCTGCCTGGAACACTGCATCTTCCTTCCTCCTCTCCTGGATGGGTCCTACTTATCCTATAGGTCTCAGCTTGGATGGTACAGAGGGAGCCCTCCTGATGCCCCAGGCTGGATCAGGCCTTGGTTGCTTCTCCCACTGCTCTCCCCACCTGCACAGCCCTCATCTCAGGATTTACTGCTGTGTTTGTTTCTATGCAGACTTAGTCCTGGTCACTAGTGCTTTCCTTGTGCTTGTCACTGCCACATTTTGTTGAATGAATGAAGCTTCTGGTTTCTAGCTTCTCTGTCTCTGCCATTTGAAATGCCTCAATCACAACTTTTCAAGGACCAGCTCAAAACTCCTCCACCCCCAAGAAGTCTTCCCTGGCCTCCTTCCTTCGTGGCCACTCCTGACCTGTTCTTTCAGCTACACAATGTCCCTTGATCCCAAGGTCTGGGCTTATGCCCATTGCAGAACTCAGTTCTGAGCCAGCTCGTGACTCAGGCCCCCTCTGGTTCAGACACACTCAGCTGCTAACTCAAGACCAAAGGGGAAGTAGCTGACAGTGACAGAAAAAGGCCAGGGTCAACAAAGTGTGAGTGGGACGTGGGTGCGAATATGTCTGCATTCAGAGGAAGGGTACCCATCACCACCCTGTGAATGGCATGCCCCACAGAGGAGACTCCTGACAAGCCTTAGTGAATGTTAAAGAGTCCAACTCCCTAGTGATACAGATGGGGAGGCTGAGAGCCATAAAGGAAGGGGCCTGCCCAGGGTCTTCCAGTGGGTCAGTGGTAGGTACAGGACTCAGACTTGGGGGTTTGATTTTCAGCTGTACTATGTCCCAGCCAGTTACTGTATCTCTGGAAAAGGAGGCCAAGACTAGGTAGTTAAAGGACTGGAATAAATCAAGAGTTCAGAGAGGGTCTGGCAAGTACTTGATAGATGGCCATTACTATTACTACTTTGTGACCTATGTCATGGGACGCAAGCCAGGAGGAAGGGATGGGGAGGTAGATATTCTTACACCACTCCTGGGCCAGGCTTTATCTGTGTCAAGGGCATTTTCTAGTTGTAAGCCTTCATCTTCTGCTTGGGACATCTTCTCCACTTTCTAAGCCAACATCACTCAGTGTGACCTCCCTGAGAGGCCCTTCTAGCTGTCCCACCATGGTTGCTGCACTGCCTGGCTAAGAGCCAGAGCCTCCTGTCGTGGTGATTACACATATCTGGTTATTGGTCACCAGCATTTCCCAAGACAAACCTAAAGGCCGGCACCACTCAGCTCCCCTTTGGGGAGTCATTTACCTCTTTACTAAAAGCAGGCTGCAGGTGATGAAAATGTTCTAAAATTGACTGTAGTGATGCCCTCACAGCTCTGACTACTAAGAAGTACCGAACTGTTTATTTAAATTGGTAGATTGTATGGTATATGAATCTCAATAAAGCTGTCAAAAAACACCTCATACTTAACTCACATTTGCTATTTCTTCTAAGTAAACTAGTCTTTATTACATTAATAGTACTAACGATAACCACTTAATGAACAGTTTACTTAGAAACCAGCTAAGTATTTACCATACCTTTTCTCATATGACCCTGATACATCTCAATGGGGGAGACCTTAATCATTATTCCTAATTTATGGATGGGAAAATTGAGGTACTAGAAGGTGGAATGGGAGCCACTGGTTCTCTCCACACCTTGCCCTTCACTCTACAGTTCTTTACATTCAACAGGCTGCTCTGTAAACCCATCATATTTGGTTGGCAAGGCTTGATAACCAGCAAAACTAGGTAGGGGTCTGGGGATGCTGACTCAGCAGACTGACTCGCCCACCGGTTTCACCTCCTCCAAATCTAAGCAAACCCAAACTCAGCCCTGCGCCATCTCCCCAGGTGCCTCGGTCTCCCTAGGGCCTAAAGGAAGTGGCTAGAGCAAATCTCAACTGGCTAAGTGTTCCTGGAACTGCCTCAGTTTCCCCACCTGTAAAACGAGGTAAGATGCCTACACTTGTCCAGCGCTGCAGTTTCCAGGGATCGCTCTCAGACGCCCATCCTGCACTCCCGAGGAGGTATTTACAACTCGAGATTTACCCAAGGGAGGGGAAGAAGACGGCTCTCCGTTCCTTCCAAGCCCCAAAGCCAGTCCTAATCCTCATCCCTTCCCAGGAAGGCACCCATGCAAAGGCAAAGGTGGTTTCCTCCGCCCCTTTGTCACCTGCTTCTCCAAAGCTGTCTTCCTCGCCTTCTGCACTCGCCTCCATCGGCATGCTCAGGTCCCCGTTGGGGCCCGACATTGCGGGCTCGGGCGCAGCAAGTGCCGCACGAAGATGGAACACAGGGACCGTCACGGCAAAAGCCGCACCGGGCGGAGCGCAGCAGCAGTGGACTGAACGTTCAGCCGGAAGAGTGGAACGTGGGGGCGGGACACGGCCTAAAGACCCGAGTCCCGCCCCCACTGCCGGCACTCCACCCATCCAGCTTCGCCCCTCCCCCCTCAGCTAGCCCCGCCCCACGGCAAAGCCATGGTCACGCCCCTCCGCGTCAGACCACGCCCATTAGTGGTCCCGCCCGCCGCGCCGTCATAACTCCGCCCACTCTCCTTGCCTCCGAGATCTGCGCTCTGGCTCTGCCCCTCTGACAGACCACGCCCAGCCCTGGCCCCACCCCACCCTGCCGCACAGTTATAGCTCCACCCACGTCCCAGTCTCTGATAAACAGAGCCCCGCTTCTCCCCTGGGTTCCCTCCAAGACGCATTAGACTAAGTGGACTGGCATTCAGACAAGGCGAATGGGCCTGTCAGAGAGAGGAGAGCAGCCTGAGCTTCATCTATTCCTTCCTAATCCAAACCATGATCTTTACAATTACTTGCTATGCAGCAGAGACCTGGACAATGACTAAGGATGATTGAAGAATGAAATTGGCTCAAGATAGCGCAAGATTCAGAGCTGTTGTACATGGTGTGCACATGCCGTCGAGTTGCCTGTGACTCATAGCGACCCTATGTACAACAGCTCTGAAGCCTGCCCTGTCCTGAGCCAGTCTCACTGACTCTGACACATCTACCCCCATTGCCCTAGTTACTGTATCAATCCATCTCATCTGGGATCTTCCTCTCCTGTGCTGTCCCTCCACCTTTCCAAGCATGATGTCCTTCTCCAAGGACCAGTCCCTCCTGGCCACGTGCCCAAAGTAAGTGAGATAGAGCTTCAAAATCCTAGCCTCCAAGGAGAAACTTGGTTTCACCCTTTCCCAAATCAGACTTAACTGTGTTCTTGGCGGTCCATGGTATGTTCAAGACTTCTCCAGCACTGCAACTAACTCTAAGGCATCAATTCTTCTGTCATGCTTGGTCATTATCCAGCTCTCTGATGCATAGTAAGTAATTGTGAAGACCAGGTGCACTTTAGTCTCTAGACTCTATACTGTTATACATAGGGTTGCTATGAGTCTCAAGCAACTTCAATGGCACACAACAACAGCTGGAAAAAGGGAGCCCTGGTCGCCTAATGGAAAGAGGCTGTGCTGAACCCAGCTGCTCTATGGGAGAAATATGGGCAATCTCCTCCTCTGCAATTAAAACTGCCTCTGAAAACCCACCAGAGGGCCATCAGTTCTGACTTGATGATACACAACAACAATAATTTTTAAAAAGTGAAGCCAGAGTGCTCCTTGGAGGCAAAGATGGTGAAACTTTGTTTTTCACACATTGGACATGGAGCTAGGCTATTTCTTGCAAAGGGACATCATGCTTGGAAAGATGGAGAATTATTGAAGGAGAGGAAGACCTCCAACAAGGTGGATTAACAGGGTGACTTCAACAATGGGTTCTAGTGTATCAGAGATGATTAAATTGGCACAGGATAGGGCAAGATTCATGTTGGCTATTCATAAGGTCATTATGAGTCATACTTGACTTGATGGCACTGAACAATAACAACAACTATTAGAGATCTCTAAGTTGGCAAGCCTTTGCTGTGGGTGAAATCTGAAATCTGAGACATATTTCCAAGGCACCTAAAGCTTCAGAGAAATCTCTTCTTCAGCTTCCATGAAAGTCAAGGAGGGGCCACCTCTTCCTCCCACCTCCAGCCCCACTGCCTGTCCTGGGCCTGCCAGCAATTAGCTTTTCTTTTCAGTCGTATTTGGGCAAATCTATCACAAGTGGCCAGATACTGTGATTGAGAATTCAGTTGGCATCCCAGTCCTGGACAAGGAATTGTACCAGAGTTAGTTCCAGAAACAGCTTCATGGTTGGGCTTAGGGATGAGACTTCTTCTAAGCTTCTGCTCTTTCCAAACCCCAACCAGGACTGTGTCTTGCATTCACAATAGAGAAAATAGTTTGCTGACTTTATAAACAAGTCAGCAAATCTAAAGACTGGAAAAAACTTTGGGAGGAAGCTCTGGTGGCCCAGTGGCAGGAAGCTGCACTGCAATCCTGAAGGCACACAATTCAATTCCACCAGCTGCTTCGTGGCAGAAGAATGGACAATCTCCTCCCTTTCGATTAACTACTTCTGAAAACCCACTGAAGGGTCAGCTATGAGTCAGTTCTGACTGTACAGTAAACAACAACAATATATGATAATGGTTTAATATCCAAAATATGTGGAGAATTCCTACAACCTAACAGGGTCTCTGGTGGTGCAAAAAGTTAGTGTGACTGTACCTATCAGCACCAAAGAAAGGCCTGGAGGTACTCGCCTATAAAGATTACAGCCAAAACCCGTATGAAGCGCAGTTCCATCCTGTAACACATGGGGACACAACCATAAGAATTTGGACAGCAACGAGCAGTAGGTACAACCTACCCAGACACCTCATCCACTGCTGGTGAGAATGCAAATTATGCAGCTGCTGTGGAAAATAGTTTGGCAAATCCAAAGGTAGGCAGTTCAAATCCTCCAGCTGCTCTGTGGCAGAAAGATGGTCGGTCTCCTCTCAAGCGATTTACTGCCTTTGAAAACCCTCTGGAGGTCAGCTATGAACTCGACAATATGTGACAGCAAGAACAACAAAATCACCACAGACTCCTACTGTCACCGACTGGTCAGTCATAGTGATCCTCCATTGAGTTTCTGAGCTCTTTGTCCCTCAGAGTGGCTGGTTGAAATAAACTACCAGCCTTTCAGCTAACAGCCCTACACATTACCCACTGTGTTGCCAAGGTTCCTAGAAATATGATTGCTGTTTTGTTAGTACTGCTGAGTTAACTCCAACTCATGAGCAACAGATCTGAACCTTGTCCCGTTCTGTACCATCTTCCTCATCTCTGATATGCACGAGCCCATTGTTACAGCCATGTCAATCCACCTCCTTGAGGGTCTTCCTCTCTGACTCTCTACTTTTCTTTCCCAGCATAAGGTCTCTTTCCAAGGACTGGCCCCTCCTGACAATGTGTCTAGCATATATGAGAGGAAGTTTCACTGACCCTGCTTCTAAGGTGCATCTAGGTTGCCCTTTCTCCAAGGACAAACTTCTTTTTTTCCTTTTCCTTTTGGCAGTCCATGGGATAGTCAGCATTGTTTTTCAACACTACAATTCAAAGGCATCATTTCTTCTTCTGTCTTCCATATTCTCTGTCCAACTTTCAAAAGTACAGGAAGCAACTGAAAATACCATGGCTTGGATCAGACACACCTCAGTCTTTAAATTGGTATTATTCTTCCTCTTTAACACTTTGGAGAGGTCCTTGACAGCAGATTTTTCTAATGCAACATATGTCTTGACTTCTTGACTGCTGTTACCATGGATGTTCATTGTGTGTCCAAGTAAAATGAAATAATTGACAACTTCAACCTTTTATCTATCATGGTACTGCCTACTGAACCAGTAATGAGACTCTTTGTTGAGAATTACTATGTTGCTGCTAGGTGCTATTTAATCAAATATGATGCACAGTGAGTGACCTTATGAACAAATAATTTTAATCCTGCCATATCCTGTGCCACTCTCACAATCTCCAACATATTTGAGCCTAATCGTGCAGTCACTGTGTCAATCCATTTGGTTGAGGGTCTTCCTCTCTTTTGTCAACCTTCCACCTTTCCAAGAATGATGTTCCTCTCCAAGGACTAGTCTCTCCCACTAACATGCCCAAAGTATGTGAGATGAAACTTTGTCACCTTTGCCTCCAAGGAGTCCTCTGGTTGCACCTTCTCTAAGACATATCTGTTTGTTTTTTGGCAGTCCATTGGAGATTCTGTATTCTTCTCCAACACCACAGCTCAAAGGCATCAATTATTCTTCTGTCATCATTATTCATTGCCCAGATCTCAGATGTATAGTGCAAGTGATAGAAAAGACCATGGCCTGGATTAATGCACCTTAGTCCTTAAACTGACCTCCTTACTCTTCAATAATTTGGAGAGGTCTCTAACTGCAGACTGCCAGTGCAATACATCTCCTGATCACCTAACTGCTGGTAGAACTAAGGCTGTTGATTGAGGATACAATTAATTAATAAGTTGTGGACAGTTTGAATCTTTTCTCCAGCTATCATGATATTGCCTATCAGTCCAGTGGTGAGAGGTTTTGTTTTCTTGATGTTGAGAGGCAATCTTTATAGAAAGCTGTATTCTTTGATCTTCTGCATTAAGCTCTTCTAGACCTCACTTTCAGAAAGCAAGGTTGTATCATCAATATAATGTAGATTATTGATGAGTATTCCATGTGATCCTGATTCTACATTCTTTTCATAAAGCCCAACTTACAGGCTTCACATGAGCACAATTAAGTTTTCTGGGATTCTCATTCTTTTCAGTGTTAGTCATGATTTGTTATGATCCACACAGTCAAAAGTCTGAATAGTCAGTAAAGTAAAAATAAACATCCTTCTGATATCCTTTGCTTGATATTCCTGGTTCCACAGCTTCTTCCAACTTTCAGCAGCTCTCAGTCTATGTACTATTCTAGCCATTTTTAAATAATCTTCAGCAATATTTTGCTTGTATGTGATATTAATGATATTGTTCTATAATTTCCACACTTTGTTCAATCATCTTTTCTGGGAATGGGGAAAAACATAGATTTCTTCATCAGTCACATGACCTAGCAATTCAACTCCTAGGTATATGTCCAAAAGAACTAAAAGCAGGAATACAAAGAAACTTGTACACCAGTGTTCATTACAGTGCTATTTACAATAGCCAAAAAGTGGTGTTTGTTGAGTCAAGGTCGAGCATGACTCATAACGACTCTATGAACTAAAGACCTAATGCCTCTCCATAACTATCATCATTTCTCCAAGTTCATAGAGTTTCCAGAGGCATGTGGGTTAGGAAGTGGATGCCAATCCTGCTTCCAAACCTGTTTTACACCTGCGAGCTCCACCAAACACTTTCTACGTCCATCAACAGATGAATAAATAAAATGTAGCACAACTTATCACTCCTGTAGCTCACCTTTCAGTCAAACAGTAGACATGTTTGTAAGGTAAACACCACCACCAGGGAGATACCAATTTTTAAAACCAATCAATCATGCAAGATTAAAGGAGTGCTATTTGCCCAGGAAGAAAAACTTAAGAGGCAGGAAGGGATAGGATGTAGGGACAAATGGAAATGAGAATGATTAATAAGAACTGGGAAGTATGCTGTTACAATGTAGGGACTGTAGTGACTTCCATAAAACAAAATCTATAGACTGATTGGAGGGAACATCAATTTGCTCTTTAAACTTTCAAAGAAAGTATAATAATAATAATAATGTTGTTGTTGTTATGTGCCATTGAGTTGCTTGCGACTCATAGCGACCCTATGTACAACAGCCCTGAAACTTGCTCTATCCTGTACAAACTTTACTGTCTCTGACACCCTTACCCTCATTGCCTGTCACTGTATCAATCCATCTCAATGATGGTCTCCATCTCTTTCTCTGTTCCTCCACCCTTCTAAGTATGATTTCCCTTCTCCAAGGACCAACTGGTCCCTCCTTGCACAAAGTTTGTCAGACAAAGTCTCAGAATCCTTGCCTACACACAAATAATGAAGAATCACTCGCTGTAAAGAGAAATGAAGTGCTGATATGTAGTTCAAGACTGATAAACCTTGAAAATATTGTGAAAGAAATTAAACACCAAAAGGTATGTATGATATGATTCCAGCTATATGAAATATCCAGATGATAGCAGGTATAGAAACTTATCATTCAGTTGGTGAAATGCTGTTGTTCCAGGAAGGGTCTTCTGGTTAGCTCGGAACAAATGCCTGTTCTCTTTCCTGCTCAGACCTCCACCCTGGGCTGTCCTGGCTCAGCCAACCCAGATCCAGAGAGTGCTTCCTTCCACCGTCAGGACTCCCATCCTACCAAGGGGACTTGGCAGTCCCCTCACCTTCTGTTGGAAGGTGGACTTCATGAAGACTTGAACTTGAACCCTGGGGATTGAGCCAAGGTCTATCAGAATTTCAGCAGGACCAGCTCCACTTCCAGCATTTGAAGAGTTCTCTAGAATGGCCAGTGCTGGGGCCTGGTACTAGGGACATATGTTGAGGGAGGGAAGCAGGAGGAGACGTGGAGGGCACTGGGGAAATCCCTGTTTGTGGTACTGACATGGCCTGGCTTCCACCCAGGACCCAAAAACAGCCTAAAGGAAGTGCATGCTCCTGGGTGAGTGGGAGGAGCAAGGCCATATAGTCTTATGCTCCACAAGGCTGCTTAGTGAGGGAGGCTGCACCTGGAACAGAGCTAGGCTCTGCCACCCACAGGGCTGACGGAAGAGAACAGGAGACAGAGCCTCCTTCATGTTTAGCTCCTGCAGTCCCAGAAAGCAGAGCCAGGCTGGGTCCCACCTACCCCATATCGGAACTGTAGACCGCATGCTAGACCAGAGGATCCAATAGCCTTGGCTGAGCCCTGCCTCTGAGGCTGCTGGTCTTTTCCCCTCTAGGATTAGGAATCTCTTTCCCCGTTATCTCATGAACCCTCCCTCCATTCCCGCTCCAAATCCATGCTGGACTGGAACTCAAGCCATCCAGGTCTTAATCCCTGGAACCTGTAAATGTTACTTTATTTGGGAAAAGGGTCTTTGTAGAAGTGATTAATGGTTTTTATGTGAGGAGATTATACTGGACTATCTGAGTATCCCTAAATATAATCATAGTATATACTTGTAAGAGAGAGGCAAAAAAAATTAAAATAAAATTAAAAAATAAAATAAAAAAAGAGAGAGGCAGAGGGAGATTTTACTACAGACAGAAGAGAGAAGACTGTATTAGGGTTTAGGGGCAAGAGAAAGACTGGAAGATACTCTGCCATTACCTTTGCAGAAAGAACAGCTGTAAACTGAAGCATGCTTCCTTAGAAACTGGAAAAGGAAGGCAAGGAAGTGGATTCTCTCATAGATCCTCTGGATACAGGTTATACCACCCCCCTCTAACACTTCGGTTTCAGACCAGTGAAACTGATTTCAAGCTTCTGACCCTCAGAATTGTAAGAGAACAAAAGAGTACTGTATTCAGCAATCCAGTGTGTGGTAATTTGTTCCTGCAGCCAGAGGAAACTGATATACCCGATGATTCAGGAGGAAACACAATGCCCTGATTGTGACAAAAGGACTTGTGTTTTAAAGGCCCAGCAAGACCAAATTATGACAAGAAGCTCCAGAGATAAAGAAACTGAATCTGCTGCTCACCACTCACTGTGGTCTTAGGGGCTGTGCCGGCCAAGTGTGCTGGGCTCAACTTCCTCCCCTTGACCAGCTTTGGAGCTCTGGCCAGTAGCCCCCAAGCCCCCTTCTCGGGCTGGGATTTCTCTGGGCTTGGATCTGGGCCTCTATCACATGCTTGCAGCCTGGTCTGCCCTAAGCTGCTCTGCCCAGGGTCTGGTCCTGATTTCTGAGGTTGCTGCCAAGGAGACTGAATCTCAGGCTTGTCCTATTATCTGGGGACCAAATGGTGGCATAGGCCATAGGGAATCACATTGTTTTCCCAAATACAATCTTTGGTGGTTCAAATCCACCAGTGGTCCCTGGGAGAAAAGATAGGCAGTTTCCTCCTGTAAATGTTGAAACTAAATCGACAGTAGTGAGTTTGCCTTTGAGCTCACAGCTCCAGTATCTCCCAGTTTTCTCCAGGTCCCCCGCCCCCATCCCCATGCTCCACCTCATCTGACCTACCTTGAAGGAAGAGGTTAGAGAAGGAGGTCTTGTATAAGGCAGACACAGTGGGGCTGCAGCTATGGGCACTGAATAGACAGGGGTTTGCCCACCCCCAGAACACAGGCTCACACACTCAAGTGATAGGTGCAGGCTTCTAGTCCTAGGGCCTAGACTTCTGGAGTCTTTTGCTTATAAACTGGCAGCATTGACCTCCTACTACCTCACCTCCCACCAACATGTTCTTGGCTTCATAATGACCTCCGGTTGGCCTGGAAGTTATTCTAGTGAGTCATGGGGTCAGAGACAAAATTCTGAATGGACATATAGACCTTATTATCCAGCAAGCAGCTCTGGTAGCCTAGTGGTAAGATGCTGTGCTACAATTCCGAAGGCACTCAGTTCAAATCCACCAGCTACTCTGTGGGAGATGAGCAATTGTCTGCTGTGTGATTAACCACCTCTGAGAACCCACTGGAGGGTCAGCTATGGTCACTTCTGACTCAACAGCACCCAACAACAACAACAATACAGCAAATAGGAGCAAGACCGTGGGCACTGGGCCCACAGGGGCCTGGCATGGGTCAAGAAATAACCACTGCTGACATTTCTCCCTGGCAAAGCCCCAGGCTGGGTGGGCCCCCTTCCTGCCTGAGGTGCCATGTCCTAGCACCCACGTAGATCCTGAAGAGATGGGGACAGCTATGTCCCCTAGCCATCCTAGAGCTCATCCAGCTCTCAGCCCTGGTGGGACGCCTGCTGAGTCACTCTGTAGGCAAATGAGTGTGATCATGTGGTTTGGCCCCATTTATCTCCTGTTTGACCTGAGTGCCCTCTTGCAGCTTGGAAATGCACAATGATAGCAAGCGTGAACAAGGTATTTCTGCATGGAAGGCCAGAGACAACCAGCTGTGATGAGGCTGAAGCCTCCTGAATCTTCCCATTGCCTCTTTTCTCTGCAGCTCTAACATTAGGGCAGGCTCTGGGGCCTCTATCCCTCACTGAGACCCTGGGAGTGATGCAGTGTCAGCCTGTTCTTTCCCCCAGGCACCAAGAAGCATAGGCTCAAAGCCTTGGTGGTATGTGTTTAATTAGCAGGGAATGTGGGCTGGATCAGGAGGGCAGCCTAGAAGAGCAGGCTCGGCAGGCCACACCATGGGGAGGGTCTCCCAGCCCTCTCACTGCTGGTAGGGCTGGCATGGGTGTCAGGAGGCATCCTGAACAGAAGCTGAACTCTACTCAGGCGGCTGTTCTCACTGTACAATCACGCATCATCAATGCACTGGTCTGTGGGGGCGAGGAGAGAGAAGGAGAGAGAGGTCGGAATGGCAGAGGGGGTGTGTGCACGCACACATACATACACGCCTTAACTGCCCGGGTCTGCTGCACTATCCCACACCTCAGCCTGGCCCATCTAAAGATCCTGGGGCTCCCTTCAGAGGAGAGTCACAGAGGGGGGCTGGTGGTGGTGGGTGGACAGGAGCAGGAAGAGGAAGGAGGAGCTGGGAGAAAGGCCTGGGAGAGGGCAGAGAGGGTAACCCAGGAGGTGAGAGAGGTCCAGCTGCATTCCACACAGGCACCCAGGCCTTCTGACCATTTACTGGCTGGGTTTGGACAGCCTCCAAGCCAAGAAAACAAGGGCTTTCCAAGTGGGCTGGGAAGAGAGCTCTGTGTCTGGGCCAGGCCACGTGAGGACAAGGGCACCTCCCACATCAGTGGTGAGCAAGCTGAGGGGTGAGGGGCGATGGCTCAGATGTCAGGACCCAGGCTCAGTGGTGGAGGAAGAGTGACCAGTGCAGTGAGGTCTAAACCTGAATCTGAAATGCCAACCTGGATAGGCCTGTCTGGGAAGAGCACTTGGAGGTCTACATGCCTGGGAGGACCAACAGATCCAAGTAGGGCAACTGTCTTCTTGAACTCTAAGTGGCTTCCGTGGGGCTCCCAGGCCACCCACTGCTCAGACTCTGGTGACTGGAGCAGAGAAATGTGTACTCTGCCCTCACTCTCCATGGCGTGGCAGCATCAGACCTGGACAGTCTCCATGTCCCCTTCTTTCCCTCCTTCCAGATCTTACCAACTGGGACCGAGAAGATGATATGGTCGTCAGTGAGGCCCAGTGACTTGGCGAAGCGAATGAACTTCTCCTTCAGCTCAGGGGTCAGCTGCTTGGTTCTCCCTGTGGACAAGAAGCTAGTGTAGATGGTGGATGCTCACAAGATTGGTGAATGAGGGAAAGAGACCTTGGACCCCTTTCTCAGGAAGCATTTCTCTCCCTGGCCTTCCAGGGATTCAGAACAGCACCAAAAGGGACCTTAGAATCTGGATCCCCAAGGAGCTGCAGGAAAGACTCACCGTAGAGGGTGGTCTTGAAGTACTCTTTGTTCTGGGAAACCTTCTTGAAGAACACCATGGCAAACTCGTTGTAGTTGGTTGAAGCCACACGCACTGTGTAGCTCTGTATACCCGGGAAATCTGTGGGTAACAAGAGGTCAGTCCTGTCCTGGGAAAGGAAAAGCCTGCTGCTTATACAACATTATGGGTGTAGAGGGGCAGGGAGGTCCATGCCCCTTCTGGGAGGATCTAGAAGAAACCGAGCCCCCTAGCCTGGGGCCCCTGCCTAAATTGGGACTCACTCTTTCTGTTGCCCAGGTTGAACTGGCCTGGCTGGAAACTCGGTACAAAAGTTCTGATCCAGTAGGAACACTTTCCATCCCTGTGGGGGTGAGAGATGGGTGGTGAGGGAGGAGATGACACAGGTTTTGGTCACTGGTGTTGGACAAGACAAAGGCCAGAGCTTCAACTGGAGGGGCCAGGATTTGGATGTTCAGCCCAGCCCAATTCATGCAAATCTGTCCCCCTTCTTCAGCCCATCCTAGACATCTGTTCCTGTGAGGACTGCCTCCCCAGGCCACCTGACCTTTCTCAGACCCTCCGGCATCCACTGTTCTCTCCTCAAGACTTTCCCCCAGGTGGCTCTCCCTGCCTCCTGCCCCACTCCATGTTCCCTTGCTCCCTCTCCCGGCTCTCACTTTGTTGCTTCCCCCTCTATAAGCTCTCCTGGTTGATTTACCTGCTGAGATTCTCATCAGCTCCATGACAAAGACTCCCCTAGTTTGTGGACCTATCCTGATTTCTCCCCTGAATCCCATCCCTCTGAGAACAGGGGCCATCCCACTCCTGTTCCTCGCAGCCTAGAGCCTAGTTCTCCAAACACACCTTCTGCTGCTTGCTCCACAAATGCTCCAGGCCCAGCTCACTCAGCTCCAAGAGCCAGAGACCCACGGGGCAGGACGATCCACGGCTTTCCCTCTTCTGGTCTTCATCTCCTCTGGCCCTTCCCCTCCACCTTCTCTGGTCTCCCATCCTTACAATCTGGCCCCTACATTCCCCTTCCCACTGCAGCCCCTACTCAGGGCACCCCTGCTGAGGGCTGCTTGCTTCCTTTGACTACACTGTCCTCTTTAATGAATGTTTCACACTTCCTCCTGAGGCAGGCTGGCTCCTTCATGCCAGAAGCCCCCCAGGGACTCAGATGGGATCCGAGGCTGGGCAAAGTGTCCTTCCACCCCCTCCATATACTCCGTATCTCTCCATCTTGTTTCCTGACGATTGTCTGTGCCTGTTCCACTATGTCATGTGTGCCTGCACTGAAGGAGCAATAAAGTCGGTCAGATGAATGAATGAATGTAGTAAGGAGCTGTGATATGAATGACCGTGCCCCTCAGCTTGTGCTGCCCCTTGGCTGTGACATTTATCTGCTTTCTTGGGCAACCTTCCAGATCCCACCTGCTCCCTCAGGGAGAGGTGCCTCTCACCGGAGCAGAGTGGAGGTGACGTTGTAGCTGCCGTCTTCTTTCAGCTCATAGGTGGTGGTGTACATCTTGAACTTGCCTTGCTCTTCTTTCCCAAATGCATTGCCCGCCAGGCCTAGGACGTACCACTTCCCCTGGAACTGCAGAGGGTACTGGTGATGGGCAGAGTCCAGGGCTAGGAGCCCTCCTTCCCACCCCACCCCTGCCAGCACCTCTGGGCTACCTGGCCTAGAGAGGCAGGGCTCCTGCATCAGTGGGACGTGTAGTAGACCTGGGCTAAAGCCTGGGCCCTCGCTCTCTAAGTAGAAACCATGCTGCCTAGTACAAGGATTCTGCCTGTCTCCCCCTTTGATCTATTCCTTCCTGGGCCTACCTCACAGGTGCTCCTCTAGGCCCCTTACCTGGTCATCCTGGAAGTCTGGCTGCAGAGGGACCCTGAGCAGAGGGGGTGCTGGGAGCAGTCTCAAGTTGGAGCTCTGGGCCTGGGTCTGCAGGGCTCCCAGCAGGGTGAAGCTGAGCCACAGGAGACTTAGGGCCATGATTTGGGGGCTGAGGAAGCTGGAGCTCCACGCAGCCGATGGCTCTGGCAGACAGAAAAGGAGGTGAATAAGGAGGCTAACCGGGGAACCTATTTATGAGTCCACCCCAGGGTGGGGTCATCTCTCCTTTGCCAAATTCAGGAAGGGTGAGGCAACTGTCAGCAACTCCTGCTGAAACACACAGCAAGATCTCTCGTTCCCTTTCTCCTCCTGGTGGGATTGTGTAAGACAGGAGGACAGGAAGGCCTGGGGGAAGGGTGAGGAGAGGACATTCCCCAGAGCCCTTAGCCAGCTCAGCTGCCATCTCTAACTTCCAGGAGGCCCTGCTTGGATTTGAACCCAAGGTGAAGAAGTGTGTGTGGCAGGCCCCGCCCACCCCACCCCCTACCCCACCCCTGGCACCTTCTGAAAGCAAAGAATGTCTCACCCAGGCAAACCAGGTGCTGTTTCCTGGTTCTTGTAAAGGACAGGGAAGTAGGGGACAGTTGAGAGTGGCCCTTACTGACAGGGAAGGACAGGGTGTCTCTCTTCTGCTAAGCGTGCAGATCCTGGCTTTCCCAGAAGCCCCATACTAGACCCTGGCACAGATGAGCTGCCAGGGCCTGGCCCAGGATTGTGGCCTGGTTGGGGGTGCTCCCTGCCTTAAGTCAGTGCATCTCTTCCTCCATGTCCCATCAGAATACCTTAGGCAGCTGTTGTGATGACATGTGGGGTTCAGCGGGCAAAGACTCCAAGTGGGATGGGTGGGCTACAAACGTGGTGCTCAGCAAAACAACTCAGCAAGACCTCTGAGACCTCTGTCCAGCTCCACTCTGGAGCTCTGGTTAAGGCAGATGAAGGGTGCGCACCCACCCTGGGTGAGGGCAGGCACACCTTTTCCCTGGTGGGTGAGTTGGAGGGCATTCTCCTCACTACCACTCTGGATATCAGCTGCTTTGAGTCCCATGAAGTTTATGGATTTGACCCCCTTCTTTTTTTTTTCAAATTAATAGAATTTTATTACAAGAGTCAGATGCAGGGGAGCTCTGGTGGCCTAGTGGCAAGGAGCTGCAACTACAATCTCAGAGGCGCACGGTTCGAATCCATCAGATGCTCTGCCGGGGAAGGAGGGACAATCTCCTCCTGTACCAGTCAGATCTGATTTGACCGTACAAGCACACAAAAAATTTAAAAAAAAAACAAGAGTCAGATGCATTTTGAAATCATATGCATAGGACTTGTCTGATCTCATTTCTTTTTTAAAAAATTTAATATTCTTTTTTAAATGAAAGTTTACAGAGACTTTGGCTTTCCATTCATTCATTGTTGCACTTTTCTCCCTGCCTCCTCCTCCACTTCATTCTTCTTGAAAATTGAAAGAAAAATTCTTTCATTGTTATACAATCCCTCCCCCCAAGTCTACTGCACTATTTAGCCTTTGTTCTGGACTCCTCAGGACAATAATACCTAATCATATATCCCTTTTAAACAGTTCTCTCCCTCAACTGTTTCAATGCAGTATACATAATTTATCCCATCTTTCTCAGTCTTCCCCAAACCCGATGTCAGTCCTGTTTTACAACAGTGGCACCATGCAGTATTTAACCTTTTGTGACTGAGATATTTTCACTCAGCATAATGCCCTCCAGGGTCACCCATTTTGTATAATATTTCATGAATTCCTTGTTTTTCAATGCAACATAGTATTCCATTGTATAAATATACCACAGCTTCTCTACCCATTTGTTTATTGATAGGAACTTAGGTTGTTTTCAACTCTTTGCTATTGTGGCCTCATTTCTGTAGCTGGAAAACTCCTAACTATCACTCATCAGCCTGTTGAACAGTTTCTTTTTCAGAGACATAGATGTCATCCAAAAATTTTCAGATATCTTTGTTTTTAACTGTTGTAGCTTGCTGAATCAAAGCAGCTGAATTTGATACAAGCTCAATGTCATTTCCTTCAAGAATTAACTCATCTTTCTCGGCTTGAGATACTGAACAAGCAACATCTGGTCTCATTTGAACTCTCTGAATTTATTTTTCACCAAGAAGTTTCAAATTTTAACCAGAGATCCACTCTCTTGAATCACAACGTTGATGGGGAAATGAGCATACACAGACCTCACTTGTAACGAAAGCCCAGTGTAACACCCTCGATCATGTTCCGTACATGGCTACAGATGGTGTGAACGGTAATCAGTTCCTTCCTGTTTCCCCACCATTTGTCAACATGAAGCCTTTTTCTTTCTGAGGAGATTGAACTCTACACTGCTATGACTGAAGTTCCTCCGCAAGGTTCCCTGTGGGCCTTTCATGATAACTGTGTGGCCCTTCAGAGTATGTCGACAGTCTGGTTGCTGAGAATGGTCTTCTTTCTCGCAGTTAATGTGGCAAAGGGTGACCCCCTTCTTGAGAAGTATTGAGACCATCACCACCACCCATTACTGGTGCAGGCAAGTGAGAGATGAGACTTCGGTCTTGGGCTGCATTGGCCAGTGTCTCCCAGAACTTCCTAAGAGTTGAGCCCAGCTTTGTCCTAGAGGGTAAGTTTCCTCACTGGGAGCCTGGCCAGTGTCCTTGGGGGGCAGTCCTTCTGCAGCACCCCCTAGAGATGGTTCACCCATGAGGACTGAGGCCATTCTGAACCCCCAGTGGCCTCCTTCTGACCTCAGGCTGATTGAGGATTTGCTGCTTTGGATGAAACTCATGGACCTCGCTGGCCCTAGCCAATGATTACTTGGGAATCAGCTCCTGAACAATGAGGCTTCCAGCGAAGGGCGGCGTTTTAAGCTGGTGAGCGGGGCGCACCTCATCCTCCAGAAGATGCCCCCACCCTGTCCCTCATATCTGACCTGCCTTCCCATGGGGATGATGAAAGGGCAGGAAGTGAAGATGAACAAAGCTTGGGGGGGGAGGGGAGAGGGCATGGGGGATGATTTTGCCACCAAAGCCTAACTGCCTGCCAGTGGGGGCCTCCATTTGTGGCCCCACAACTCCTGGTGGCTCCACCCCTGTTCTAAGATGAGGAGACTTTCTTTGACTTTAAAAGGTAGCTTTATGTTGGCCACCGCTTGGATACAGGGGAGACTGATGAATAAAGTCCTAAACAACTTTAGGTAAGGGAGGGGCAGCACCTTGGATCATTGAGGCTACACTGGACAGATCAGTCCAGACTCTGAAAATCAGGGGATGAGTCGAGGATGGGGCTCGAGGACACAAAGTGTGGGGTGTGGCGAGAGGAGGCACTGGCTGTGCACCCCTGAGAAGCCTTGGTCAGGGACTGAGGAAGACAGCCTAGCCCTGAGGCAAGGGTTGAGCCTGGGTTCTGCTCAAGGTTAGGACTGTAAGCTTTAAAAACTCTCACACTTCTGTGGCAAAGAGACAAAACAGGGCTCCTATCTCCCTCACTCTGTGGGAAGTCTTTTGTCCCCACTGTCTCTGGCAGGTAGCTCCCCTCTGCTCCCCCCTCGTCCTCCCTCCATACCTAAAAGGAAAGTCTCTAAATAAACAGCTGTGCCCACTCCTGGTCTATTCTCCTGTGAGGGCAGCAGACACTTTCTGGGGTGCATGCATCCTGGTTAATACACACTGGCCTGACTTCCAGAAGCCCTTGGTCAGTATTCACCAGGCCACAGATGCCTGAGGCTAAAGCAGCCCCCTCTGCCTGTTTGAAGGGCTGGTCAGGAGATAGGTCTCCAGGCAGAGAGAGACCATATAGGCTCCTTGGTGCCTTCTTGGCCACTGGAGGTCTAGGTTAGGTAACTCCCTCACAGGGGTCATTTACCGTAGGGTCTTGGGTAGAGTCTCCTGTTTCTGGAAGTAGCTTGCCTACCTTCATGACCCCATCTCTTCCAGGCAGAATCTCAAGGATTTCCTGGTTACTACCGCTTCTACCCAAGATGGACCTTTCCTGTGGACAAGCATTGAAAGGCAGCCCCCCACTAATTGCCAGGGGCATTTCAGAACACCACTGTGGAGTGAGCTGTACAATTCTCACGCTTGGACTAAGGGTGGACACTGTCAACTTTAAAGGCAAAGGACTGTGGCTGGGCAACAGACAAGTGGGGGCAGGAATGGATGCATCTTCTCAGACATTGATGGAGAGGCAAGTGTGGGTCTATCAGAAAAGCAATCCTAGCTGAAGAGCAGCTGCACCCTCTCAGGAGTTCTCCTAGGACAGACAACCAGACCTTGCAGGAAACAAAGTCTTCAAGCCCTGCTGGGACCACAACAATGAAGAGACATTTATAGTCTAAAACGTCTGCTTCATGAAACATGTCCAAAGTAAGACAAGTCCCCAGTAAAACAAAAGGAAGGAGAAAATGAAGAGCACAAGTTCATAAAAGAGAAACATTATCAAAGGAATACCAAAGCCTAGAGTTGGCTCTTGGAAAGAGACAGAAATGTGGAAAGAGTCTGCAAACCAAAAAGATTGTTGTTATTGTTAGGTGCTGTTGAGTATGACTAATAGCAACCCTGTGAACAAAAGATCTGAACCCTGTTCTATGCTGTTGCAACCTCACACTTCTTGACAAACTAGAGCCAATTCAGCAGTCACCAATCAATCCACTTGGTAGAGGGTCTTCATCTCCTTCACCAACTTTCCACCCTTCCCAGCATCATGTCCTTCTCCAAGGAACAGGCCATCCTTGCAACATGCACAAAGTATGTGAGGTGAAGCCTCATTATTCTTGCCTCCAAATAATGCTCCAGCTTTACCCCCCTCTCCAAGACTTATCTGTTTGTCCTCTTGGCCACGCAAGGGATGTTTGGTGCTCTCTCTCCAACACCACAGCTTGAAGGCATCAATTCTTATTTTATCCTTATTTACTGTCCAGCTCTCAGGTGCACAGCAAGTGACAGGAAGACTATGGCCTGAATCAGATGTACCTTAGTCCTCAAATTAACATCATTACTTCTCAATAACTTGCAGAAATCTTTAACTGCAGATTTTCCAAGCACAATATGTCTCCTTATTTCCTGAATGCTAGTACTAAGGGTGTTAATTACGAGGCAAG